CTGTAATTAAAATTGAGTGATATGTATTTAGCATTTGTCTATGGTTCTCTTAAATGGCATCCTTGGTGACTCAGACAGTAAAGAGTCAGCCTGCGATGTAAGAGACCTGGATTCGATTTCAGGGTTGGAAAGATTCCCTGGAGAAAAGAATGGCAACCCACTCCAATATTCTTGCCTAGGAAATCCCATGGACAGAGAAGCCTAGCAAGCTACAGTCCATGGGGCCACAAAGAGTCAGACACGGCTGACTGAATAACAATTTCACTTTATGGTTCTCTTAACCTTGAGGATTGTTGAGCTGAGACTAATTTCCTCAAGGGAAGAAAAAAATCCCAGATGCAAACTGAGACTTTAGTATGGGTTTTGGGAAAGATGGTTCAGATATTAACAGTAGCAGATGCAATACCGGCATAGCATTAGCTTGTTCAAAGTCTCTTGATTAATCAGTGGGGGAAATAGTCAAACCCAATTTCATCTCACTTCAAAATCCAAGTTCTTTGCACTACATTCTGCTTTATTTTGTGAATATGACTTAGTTTAGGCTTACAAAAAAGCCCTAATTCTAAAATACCTTTTTGAAGAGGGAGTGGGCTGAAGAGTGCAGATGGGACATAAAGTGTTTAACACATCAAAAAGACATTCAGCCTTCCTGTGAAGGGCTGGATGAGAGAAGAGTTACTTGTCAAGGTGGAAAAAGTACATGCCCGTCTTTGTCTGTCTTGGCTGTTTGTTTAGCTCTTCCCTTTCTTGGATGATGGACTTGGTCCCATGGTTTTGGTGAAGATCTCTGGAGGCTCTTTGTTACATGCTGGGTGGAACTTAAAATAAACAGATCAATGGTCAGGAGTCCCATGAACTCTGCATTCATTCCTAGAGGATGACAAAATGTCACTTGTATTTATGTGCAGCTTTTCTCAGCAATATTTCCTCAAACAAGCTAACTAGCCTCCCCCCCCCCCCCAATTTGACCCAATTTAGACCTTTGACTTACTATGTAGTGGCTCATAGAGTTACCTTTACAGACTGGGGACAAGACCAGTCACTTTTTCTTTGTCCATCCTTGTCTCTGATAGATGGACTGAGGATATAACGCATCCAGGTTACATTATGAAAGATCAACAACACTTGCAAAGATGCCCTTTTGCTTTATAAATGAATGCTCCATTCTGAGAAAAGTGTGAGCGCGTGTGCCAAGTTGCTTCAGTCATGTCCAACTCTGTGATCACATGGATTGTAACCCATCAGGCTCCTCTGTCCATGGAATTCTCCAGGCAAGAATACTGGAGTGGGTTGCCATTCCCTACTCCAGGGGATCTTCCTGACGCAGGGATTGAACCCAGGTCTCCTGAATTGCAGGCAGATTCCTTACTGTCTGAGCCGCCAGGAAAGCCCCGTCTTAGTGGTACCGCTGGTAAAATTGGGTCCTAATGATGCTGCATAGAACCAGTCACCTCGGGGTCCTTCCATATGAGAATATTTCCTTGCTGAAGAAATCAGCATTACTAAAGCAAAGAGACTGAATTTTCTTTAAAATTCAGGTTGTTCTTACATATCTGGCCCCAACTTTTCCTTTCCTCACTCCATAAATGTTTTCTATACTATGCTCACCAATTTCAGGAACCCAGCTGGGCCATATTGTCTTACATCTCATTACCTTGTATTTGCTTTTGCCTCCACTAGCAAAGCAGTCACCCTTTCTCCCCACTCCATTTGTCTCATTCCTACTCATCACCAATACTAGGTCACAGTTTCAAAGATGTTTCTTCAGACAATTCCACTCATCAAAACTGCATCAGAGTTTCCATTTGTTTTCTTTCTGAGCTTCCTATAGTTATCTGTATTGTAATAGTCATTCACTGTATTGTACTTGCTTATGTAGCCAGCTGTCCCTATTCTACATTAGACCACAGACTCCTCAAAGTCACAGACTATATCTTATTTACAAAGTGGTCACATCTCCTACTACAAGATTGGCATTAGCTGATAATTAATATATATTAAATAAATAAGTGAACAATCAACTTCCTAAAATAGGAAGTTTAAAAACAGTAAGGATTGCATTGCTACAGAAGTTGATGTAAGGTTCTATTTTGTCTTCTAGTCTTTTGTCAGTTGGAGGAAGAAGAAAGAAACATGGATGTTCAGAAATCTAATAACCTCTTTGGAAAGCCCTCAAACACAGCATTACCTTTCCCCACACACACTTGTGTGGACAAGCTCATTGCTCTATCAAGCTTCCAGGAAAGAAGATGTTGAATCAAGCTGCATTCTTTATAAGCTATGTATTTGCCCAGAGGTGGACAGACTTTCACTACTGTATGCACCCTTCCTTAGGATTCTCTTCCCAAGGAAGTCTAGACTAATCAAGACTCATGAGGGATGAAGAAATGTTACTGAGTCATACAAAGGTGGTTTTGTGTCCCAGTGTTCTGAAGAAAGTCGTTTCAACTACCTTTTGTAAATGTGTTTTTAGACCAGGACCAGAACTATCAGCTCCACTAATACTTAGATATATGAACATGGAGACGTTATTGAGCTTCCTCATGAGTAAAATGAGGACATTATTACTTGTCCTATTGTTGTCATTAAAACGCATACACATGGTCTCTGGTATCAAGCAAATTGAAGTGATACTTGAGAAGGTAGTTGGAGTCACTAAACAAAACTTTCAGCAATGGAAGTTTTCTCCCCAAACCATAGATGTTCCCATTCTGAAATATCATTACCCTTGGTCTAATTTTCAACAACTCTTTGCCAAAGAATTTAATTTAATCCTATATAAATATTTAAACTAGTTATTTCTTCAAGTATTCTGGAATTACATAGATTTTAAGACTCTGTACTTCAGATTTTCAATCCAAAATGGTCACTTGCTCTCTAATATAAACAGATTTTGAGCCCAAGCTTTACATTCTAGTAAATCATAACTCACCCTGATGTTTCTATTCTATTCTATTATTGAATTATATACTGTAATCTGATTCAACTTGGTATTTCAAAAGCCAATCTTTCATCAAGATCCTCTAAGACAAATAAGATTTTTTAGGAAATAATTTTTTGGTAAATATATTTGTAGTCTGAAAGTCAATCATTTGACAAAAATGAGAAATACAAACCAGGGCTCTTGGGGTAGATGGGAATTTACCAGTTCAGAAGGTAAGGTAGGTAGTTTACATAAATTCACTTTATGAGATAAGCGAATGTTATTAAGCCATCTTATAAATACAGAAAACTAAGATCATGGCATCTGGTCCCATCACTTCATGGCAAATAGTTGGGGAAACAGTGGCAACAGTGGCTGACTTCATTTTTGGGGGCTCCAAAATCACTGCAGATGGGATTGCAGCCATGAAATTAAAAGACACTTACTCCTTGGAAGGAAAGTTATGACCAACCTAGACAGCATATTAAAAAGCAGAAACATTACTTTGTCAACAAAGGTCCATCTAGTCAAGGCTATGGTTTTTCCAATGGTCATGTATGGATGTGAGAGTTGGACTATAAAGAAAGCTGAGCATCGAAGAATTGATGCTTTTGAACTGTGCTGTTGGAGAAGACTCCTGAGAGTCCCTTGGACAGCAAGGAGATCCAACCAGTCCATCCTAAAGGAGATCAGTTCATTGGAAGGACTGATGCTAAAGCAGAAACTCCAACACTTTGGCCACCTGATGCGAAGAGCTGACTCAGTTGAAAAGACCCTGATGCTGGGAAAGTTTGAAGGAGGGAGAAGGGGACAACAGAGGATGAGATGGTTGGATGGCATCACCGACTTGATGGACATGGGTTTGGGTGGACTCCGGGAGTTGGTGATGGACAGGGAGGCCTGGCGTGCTGCGGTTCATGGGGTCACAAAGAGTTGGACATGACTGAGCGACAGAACTGAATTGAACTGATAAATACAGAAACTGAAACTCAGAAAGCTTAAAAGCTACACAAAAATAGGTGGCTGATCCCTGGTTTAAACCCGAATGCTCTTTCCACTAAGCATATACTGCTTACCTTTCCATTACACATTACCTCATCCCACCCCAACCAAGTAACTCCTTTTGAACCACATCCTGGAACATAAACAATTCTTTATTTTACCACCTGAGAATCTTTCAACATTCTCCTTATCTAGAAGTTGTTCTCTTTCATCCTTCTCTGTTAGAGTCCTCCATATTTCAATACCCTGCTCTATATACTTATGGAAAATTCTGCCCTTGTGCTCTTGTTGGAATAAATATCTTGGTACCACTTGTTTGTTCTGTAATATATCCTGGTTCTTATATTGCTTTCTTCCTCTGATAGACCATATTCTTTAAAAACAAGTACTTAGTCTTATCTGTCTCCAGATTCTCACATTACTCAGAAGTTACTCAATAAATATTTGTGGAACTGATAAATATTTGTGAAAGATATTCCCTTTTGTTCTGTTAAACACATATTAGAGAACCAAATCTTTGGGAAAGTTGTAACATGCTCCTTAAGAGTGATAATTGGTCCTGGAAACTTTCCAAAATGCTTAGAAATGGACTTCTTGTAAATCGTGTCCCCATTAAAAGTGGTTGACTAGGTTGCCTTATCTGTCATTACAGCACATATAATTTACCTGAAGAAATGACAGTGCCATAAAAGAACAATCACAAATGAGCTTATTCTAACAGCTGCCAGATGGGACCATGATAAAGTTCTCAAATAAAAAAGACTACCATTGACATTAATGTATCAAACTGAGAAACTTGACTATTAAAAAAAAAGTTTTAAAACTGTTTTAAAAGAAACATGTTTTTTAAACAAAATCAATAAAATTATTTGAAAGATCAAATAAAACTTGGGTCACACAGAAAATTTGATAAGGAACCAATCACTAGAGGAGTCAGATGACTCAGATGTGCTCTCAAAGGGCGGATGGTTGCATATTGTGGAATTTCCTCTGACATGATGCAAGCATGATGGTGCACTTGTTCCCTACTCTTATGATGATATAAAAAGCCACAGGAGTTCCCTGCCCAACAGAGGTCCTCTGGGACAGCAGAGCTCACAAGCATCTAGAACACGAGCCAGAAGAAACCCAACCAAAAGCATCTTGTTCAAATATGACTTCCAAGCTGGCTGTCGCTCTCTTGGCGGCTTTCCTGCTTTCTGCAGCTCTGTGTGAAGGTGAGCATACCCTTCTGCTCTATAGAAGTTTCCTGTGTCTGAATGTGATGCTCAGATAGCAAGATTATCCTTCATGCCTGGATAACAAGCATCCTTTTTATTCAGCAAGAGAAAACCATCTTTGCAGTCATTTACTGTTAAATTGAAGTTTTAATCTTTTAGGTTGTATCAATATATTTAGAAAGTTATAAAGTTTGATTTATATAAACATTCTGTTCCTATCATCATTCATACTCTGTAGTATACAAATAATTAACATAAATCTATAATTTAGAGTATATTTTATTGAAGGCCACATTTACCCATATTATCTATTAATATTGAGTAAGGTAACTCAGGTTATTTTACTCCATGTACTACTCAATTGAGTAGCTTCAGGCAACTATCATGCGCTTTGGCCTAAAGACAGATTATAAACCTTATTGGGATCCTCTTATGAAATAGAGTTAAGAATGTTTGGGCTTCCCTGATAGCTCAGTTGGTAAAGAATTTGGTTAGATTCCTGGGTCGGGAAGATCCGCTGGAGAAGGGATAGGCTACCCATTCCAGTATTCTTGCTTTTCCCTTGTGGCTCAGCTGGTAAAGAATCTGCGTGCAATGTGGGAGACCTGGCTTCGATCCCTGGTTTGGGAAGATCCCCTGGAGAAGGAAAAGGTTACCCACTCCAGTATTCTGGCCTGGAGAATTCCATATTTCATAACAGGGATCCCAATAAAGTTTATAATCTGTCTTTAGGCACTCTTATGAAATACAGTTTATAATGTTTATGGCATATACCATAAACATTATATATGGTATATGGCATATGTATATATGTTCTTAAACATTAGGGATTTTATTAAGATAGAGTACAATCTCTGGATAATGCACATATATTTCTATTAATTCTTCCTGAAGGCAGTTTCCCTTTTGGTGTATCTTAGTTTGCCTGCCGTTAATAACATTGTGGTATCACAGAGGATTATACAGTGTTGAGGATGAGAAAATGTACCATGAAGATGGTAACATTCTCCAAAGACAATTCTAAGTCTTTATACCATTCAATGTTGTCAGGAATGATTCTTTTTAAAACAAAGAGAAAAATTGAAGTCAGAGGCTGGGAGAATATCCAGCCATCAGTTTCAGGGATAAGTTTGCTAAAGATGTGATGTTTACCAAACAGATCCTCACCAAATGATCACACTGGAATTAATAAGCAGGAAGCTGGCCAAGTTGTTCTTATGGATGAAATAAATGCTTAATTTTTTCCCACAGCTGCAGTTCTGTCAAGAATTAGTACTGAACTTCGATGCCAATGCATAAAAACACATTCCACGCCTTTCCACCCCAAATTTATCAAAGAATTGAGAGTGATTGAGAAGGGGCCACACTGTGAAATTTCAGAAATCATGTAAGTAATTTCAAAAGTGATTAGATATTTTACTTTAGTCAGCCTAGAATTGAGATGTGGAAGAATCCAACAAAGTTCTAGGTACTAGGAGTACATAGTGAGAAAAATAGAAAGGAAAAACTCTTTGTCTTCATGGCATTTAAATATGAGACTCTCCATGACTCACAGCTAAAAATTAGTTTGGACTTCCATTTTATGCCTGTACTCAAAGAACCATGACTTGAATGGCAAGGTGGTGTTTGAAGCCCGTTAAATATTGAATTTAATCATATCTCTCTCATTTCAGTGTTAAGCTTACCAACGGAAAAGAGGTCTGCTTAAACCCCAAGGAAAAGTGGGTGCAGAAGGTTGTGGAGGTATTTGTGAAGAGGTAAGTTTTTCTTGAATTTATATCCTTCATTTATCCTGTGACATTTACTCCAAAGGTCAGCCTTTAAATTTTCTGCTGCTGCTGAAAATTATTTTAAGTAGCTGTTTCTTTGATTAAAAAAAAAGTAGCAGCAATAGTGAATTTGTTGTACTCATGACTGGGAGATCATATATCTCAGTTTGTCCAGAGAAGTCGTTAGTAGAGCTCACTATAAATCTCAGAAATATTCTGGTTTAGATAACTTATCTGATCTCTCTATCTGTAGTTGAAAATATAGAGCTTTTCTAACACATGAATATCTAAGACTCTCTTAATTTCTGTATTAAGTATATTTTTAAGAACCATACCTTTCTCCTTATTAGAACATTGCTAATTTTTAAACTTTTTGTTTTATTTTATATATTTTCAGAGCTGAGAAGCAAGATCCATGAAAAAGAAAAAACAACCAAAAATCCTGTTTCCATTGCTTCCAAGAATTCCTCAGTAAAGATGCCAATGAAACTTCAAAGCAAATCTACTTCAGTGCCTCGTATACTGTGTGGGTCTGGGGTACGGTTGTCAGATAAAATACAGGATGTCCAATTACATTTGAATATTGAGTAAAACAATGAATATTTTTTCAGTGTCACATGTACATTGTTCCATGTAGGACACGCTTATATTTTAGAAATTATTCATTGTATACTGTAAATTCCAATCAATCTGGAAATCCTGCTTTTTTGTTTTTGGTTTTTGTTAATCTTGCAACCCTAGACTGCTGGCCAGGATTCACGAGTGCCTGTTCAACTGTGCCTCCGTTTCTTTGTTTCTAAATTGGAGAAAAAAATCTCATCCACCTTTCTACCTCACAGAGATGTGAGGACATGTGGAAGCACTTTAACTTTTATTCGGTCATGTAAATTATTTTCAAGTGTAACTTATTTAGCTATTTATATATTTATTTGTCTCAAATACAATAATATTTGTGCATGAATTTGGAGAAATAGGAAAGAAGCATTGTTGATAAGATTGTATAATGATGCTAGTAAATTTATACTTATTTTATATAGTAAGTGATGTTTTGATCAAGATTGTTATATTGTAATCATAGTTACCAGATTAGCAAATTAAAAGACACAAACAGAAAGGACTCTCAGTCAATTTTTCTTTCAGATAAACAATGGATAACTTTTAGTATACAAATACATAATTATTTATCTGAAATTTTAATTGAACTGGAAGTCCTACTTTTGAGATGTCTGGCCTGGTCTTGCCCTTATGATGCAATGATGTGTTCAATCATGTGAATCCTGAGACTATCTTTCTTAAATCTGTAAAAATTTACCAGGCAATAGGAATTATGTAATTTTTTGTATTATTTATTTATTTATTCTGAACAATTAGAATCTCATACTTTAAATTATTGTGTATTCCAACATCAACTTTATTTTTGACTTTAAGATGCTTTTATGTGTTCACAGTTGTTTCTACTGTTTTCGATAGTACAAAAATATGAATATAACTATAAGACATTTAAAATAAAATTCATTGTCAGAGTCATCAGGAGTTTGTCTTCGTTTTTCTTTGGTAGTTTTAAGATTTGTTGCTGTATTCATTTATATTAAAATTCATGTTTCAATTTAAAAAACATAATACTTACCCTTAATATTTTATGTATTATGTGGGAAATATATTTGCAGATAAACATAACTCCTTTCCAGAGGTAGATTACAATCAGTGGTCTTTTCCATAGAATGATGGAAATTTTCTCAGCTTCCCACTGTATACCATTTTACTAAATGAAGGTGACTTCAGATTTTCAACAGATAACCTAGGTGTCTGTGCAGCTTAACCCAACTGGACATTCAATGAAAAAAGGAAAGAGGGCACTCATTATAAAGCACTTCTCAGCTAACTGAGGAAAACTGATACACATGAGACAAAGAAATTTAAAATATAATTAAAGACAGAGCATATTGGAAAACAAATCAAACAAAACTCTTAGAAATAAAACCACAGTCTAACAACAACAAAAAAAACCACTCAGTAGATGAGTTTTATAACAGATTAAACACAGCTATAAAGAAAATTAGAGATCAGAAATAAATCAAAAGATTTTATCTCGAATTAAAAGAGAAATAAAGAGATATAAAAAGGTAGTAAATTAGAAAAGGAGAAAGAAAGACATAGAAGAATCAGGGATAAAGATTTATTGGTGTCTAATTGGATTTTTACAAGCAGTTGAGAGAGCAAAGTGTCAACATTTAAAGTGAATGGTTGAAAACTTCCCAGAAATTATACAATAAAAACAACAATCAGTTTTAAGAAATCCAACTTGGCAATTCTTAACTCTACATTTCTAGTCAAAAAACAAGGATCTTAGAACTTTAATGTTTATCCAACTCCCATCACATTTACTAGAGCCAGACATCCTGGAAAGTGAAGCTAAGTAGGCCTTAGGAAGCATCACTAGGAACAAAGCTAGTGGAGGTGATGGAATTCCAGTGGAGCTATTACAAATCCTAAAAAATGATGCTGTGAAAGTGCTGCACTCAATATGCCAGAAAATTTGGAAAACTCAGCAGTGGCCACAAGACTGGAAAAGGTCAGTTTTCATTCCAATCCCAAAGAAAGGCAATCCCAAATAATGCTCAAACTACCACACAATATGCACTCATCTCACATGCTAGTAAAGTAATGCTCAAAATTCTCCAAGCCAGGCTTCAACAGTACGTGAACCGTGAAATTCCAGATGTTCAAAATGGTTTTAGAAAAGGCAGAGGAACCAGAGATCTAATTGCCAACATCTGTTGGATCATCAAAAAAGCAACAGAGTTCCAGAAAAACATCTATTTCTACTTTATTGACTATGCCAAAGCCTTTGATTGTGTGGATCACAATACACTGCGGAAAATTCTTAAAGAGATGGGAATACCAGACCACCTGACCTGCCTCTTGAGAAATCTGTATGCAGGTCAGGAAGCAACAGTTAGAATTGGACATGGAACAACAGACTGGATCCAAATAGGAAAAGGAGTACGTCAAGGCTGTATATTGTTCCCCTGCTTATTTAATTTATATGCAGGGTACATCATGAGAAATGCTGGGCTGGAGGAAGTACAAGCTGGAATCAAGATTGCCAGGAGAAATATCAATAACCTCAGATATGCAGATGACACCACACTTATGGCAGAAAGTGAAGAAGAACTAAAGAGCCTCTTGATGACAGTTAAAGCGGAGAGTGAAACAGTTGGCTTAAAGCTCAACATTCATGGTATCTGGTCCCATCGCTTCATGGCAAATAGATGGGGAAACAGTAGAAACAGTGCCTGACTTTATTTTTCTGGGCTCCAAAATCACTGCAGATTGTGACTGCAGCCATGAAATTAAAAGATGCTTACTCCTTGGAAGAAAAGTTATGACCAACCTAGACAGCATGTTAAAAAGCAGAGACATTACTTTGTCAACAAAGTTCTGTCTAGTCAAGGCTATGGTTTTTTTCAGTAGTCATGTATGGATGCGAGTTGGACTATAAAGAAAGCTGAGCGCCAAAGAATTGATGCTTTTGAACTGTGGTGTTGGAGAAGACTCTTGAGAGTCCCTTGGACTGCAAGGAGATCCAACCAGTCCATCCTAAAGGAGATCAGTCCTGGGTGTTCATTGGAAGGACTGATGCTGAAGCTGAAACTCCAATACTTTGGCCACCTGATGTGAAGAGCTGACTCATTGGAAAAGACCCTGATGTTGGGAAAGAATGAAGGCAGAAGGAGAAGAATATAGCAGAGGATGGCATGGTTGGATGGCATCACCAACTCAATGAGCATGAGTTTGAGTAAACTCCAGGAGTTGGTAATGGACAGGGAGGCCTGGGGTGTTGCAGTCCCTGGGGTTGCAAAGAGTTGGACACAACTGAACGACTGAACTGAACTGAACTGCACACACTTACTATTGATGTGGTTAAGTCCCCTTGTTTTTTTAAATTATAAAAAAGCTACACATTTTGGGATGAGGAAAAGTCCTCTATTATTTTTTCATTTGTTAGTTCATGTTGCAGTCCAATTTTCCTATGTTGTTTAGCTCTTTTCAACCACCCTAGATACATGCAACTGCCATTTTCTCTCTGAGTCAACATTATCAACAGTGTGAAGCAAAGCCCATTCTCTTTTCTAATTCCCAATCCACGTTAACACAAAAGTGTGCAGCATAATAGAATGTTTTTTAATTAATTAATTTTTTAATTGAAGGATAATTGATTTACAGAATTTTTCTGTTTTCTGTCAAGCCTCAAGATGAATCAGCCATCAGTTCAGTTCAGTTCAGTCGCTCAGTCATGTCTGTCTCTTTGTGACCCCATGAATCGCAGCACATCAGGCCTCCCTGTCCATCACCAATTCCCGGAATTTACTCAAATTCACATCAGTTGAGTCAGTGATGCCATCCAGCCATCTCATCCTCTGTCGTTCCCTTCTCCTCCTGCCCCCAATCCCTCCCAGCATCAGAGTCTTTTCCAATGAGTCAACTCTTCGCATGAGGTGGCCAAAGTATTGGAGTTTCAGCTTCAGTATCAGTCCTTCCAATGAATCAGCCATAGGTATACACATATCCCCTCCCTTTTGAACTTCCTTCCCATCTCCCTCCCCATCTCACCCCTATATGTTGGTACAGAGTCCCTGTTTGAGTTTCTTGAACCATACGGCAAATTCTCCTTGGCTGTCTATTTTACATATGGTATAGTAAGTTTCCATGTTACTCTTTCCACACATCTCACCCTCTCCTGCCCTCTCCCCAAGTCCACAAGTTTATTATCTATGTCTGTTTCTCCACTGCGGCCTTGAAATAAATTCTTCTGTACCATTTTTCTAGATTCCATATATATAGAATTTTTGAGAGTGATGCACAAACAGGAACCAACTGAAAATTCAATGCCAGTAGTTTCTGTTCTTCGAAACTTTGTTTCCCTCTGGAGGTAAACTCTCTCTGCCTATTGATCTTTACCAGCCCTGCTGTGGGGTCCCCTCTTCCTCAAAGTTCTGCTTAAATTCCATGTCCAGTGTTCTCTGCAGACCCCAATTGGATTTTTATAATTCCCTTGTCTTATCCACCTTTGTAGTCATCTTGCGGATCTCATACATAGTGAATATAACAGATAACAAATTATTTTAATAAAATGATGATGGGAGAAATATAGGGTTCTTCAGAAGCAGGTAGCAAGGAGTTATCTAACCTAGGTAGTCTGTCCGGAGAAAATCTAAAATCTGAAAGATGAGTAGGGGTTAGCCACACAAAGGGAAGAAGACTATGTGGGAAGACTGGTCTAGAAGACAAGAGGGAAGTAATTTGTGTGATTTGAGAAGTGAAAGAACTTGGGGGTGAGTGGATTTTGGCCTGGAATGGAACAAATGTTAACAGATAAAATTGCGCTAAATGGACAATGGAAAGGTCTAAAGGGCTAAATACGGAATTGAAAGATTCTAATGGATTCCATTACCTTCATTTTATTTATTTATTTATTTATTTATTTTTCATTACCTTCATTTTAAATGGTGAGCATTATAAACTATTCTATTTCCTGGGCCTCCTTCCAAAAAAGAAATGGGAAGCCATACAAAGCAACCCAAAGTCTGTTCTTGGGGCCTTTTTAATGTCATTTAGGGGCTGAATTATCAAAAATACTCTCAACATTATACAAAACCTCTTAATGTGTTATGTACACATCCTTAGTATGACAAATATACAACCCTGAAGGCAAAGTGCAGACATCTAACCAATTTGGTGAATCTTAATAATGAATACTTAAAAAATCTATTTCTTTATTTTCATTGTTAATCTCTTTTAAAATATGCCAAATGATTTTCCTCACTCTTTCATCTATATTGTCACTATCTGTAAGACAACAAAGTATTCCATTGCAAAGGCAGTTAAGTGGATCAAACTGAAGGTTAGGCATCATGTAAACAAGTCAAAAAAGAAAAATGAGAAAGAGTAAGAGAGGATGTGAGAACAAGAGAAGGAAAAGCCAGTAAATTTGCAGAACTGAAAATTTTGTTTTGCTTTGTTTCAATTATATTAGTAATATATATATATATAGACACGTTTTATATGTATAGACACAGATTTAAACCAAAGTTCAGCAAACAATCAATTGCCCCATAAGCATACAGTAGCCTTCAAAAATATTAGTAATGTTCTGTTTGTTAACCTGGTTGACATAAGCACAAGGTTGTTCCTTTTATTTTTGTTATTTTACACAGTTATACACCTTTACTCTGTATGATATACTCACAATAAAATATTTTGCAAAGTTAGAAAAAAATACCCCATGCATTTAATCCACTTTTGTGGATTAGAAATTACAAATCAAGATTTTCCAAATAGAAATACAAATGTAAATATAGAGGTACACAGAATTTAAAAAGTATGGAGAGATAAAGTGTTCACCTTCACACTGAATTAAGTGCAAAATACTGTAACACATATATTGTACATCCAACCTGCAAATAAAGTAATTTTAATAATTGCCTTTTTTTTTGGCATTAGAAAATAGATTCATAGGTTGAAGC